TCCTCCGCACATCGCTCAAGCTCTGCTTTCTGAAAGTCAACTGTCCTCATGGCAGCCAACTTCTCATTCAGATGTTTGTTCGCTACCTCAGCGGACAGTGCTCTTTCAGATTCAACGTTGCTCAGGCTCTGTTTGAGCTTCGCGATCTCATCTTTAAGGTCGTTTTCTCCCTTCGGGGCCCCCAGTCGAGCCTTTTCCAGGGACATCCTTATGGCGAGCAGAGCCTGCGAGCAAAAAAGAGTTAAGAACACAGAAGGCGGACATTCTTAGAAAAAACAAGTCGTTTACCTTGCTCATGTGTTGAAACGACGTGGTCATCAGGTCGACGTCGCCCTAATCTGCGAACTGATCATATGACTCTGATAGCCCACACTCGAGTAGGGAGTAGACTACCGGCTGCAGGTACTCAGGCAGGTCCCCAAGTGCGTCTAGTACTGGTGTGTCCTTCGCCTTATCGACGGCTATCGTCTCTTCTTCAGGTTCCTTGCCCGACCTCCTCCTAACTTCCCGCCTCGACCTCAATGGCTCTTCCTTAGTCTCAGTCTCAGTCTCAGACTCTTCGGCCTGAATCTGCTTCTTCCTCGATCGCTGGGCCTTCCGCTTTGTGCGAGCAGGTGGTTGAGCGACCTGTTCAGATATGGTCGCTTCTTGCTCAGGACGAGTCTGGGGAGGCGCGGCAGGTCGCGTCGGTTGTACCGCCGCGGGGCGAGCAGCTTTGGCCTCCTTCTCTCTCCTCGAGCGGGGGAATTTGAACGGTGCTCGTCGGGGCTGCCCGGACTCTTCGGATGCATGGTCGCTGCATGTGAATATGTTAGTAACCGAACAAAAACTATTCTACGACCAGAAGGGTATCAGCGTAACTTACATTCCAGGGACTCTAAAGATGCCTTCTCACTAAGAAAACCGTATTTTCGCAAGTTCGCAGTTGTCACAAGCTTCCTCGCGTCCCGGCTTTCTTCGGGAAGAACTCCAAATGAGACAAGCCTGTCCGGGTCGGTGAGCAAGTCCTGGCTAGTCGTCTTGTTAACTGTAAAATAATGCAGGTCGTTAGAACAAATGAGGCTTACAGCCAATAAACCTAGCGAAGAAAAACATACTTGGGTTTTGAAAGTGGCAGTGGCCGTCATAGCAGAAAAAGAAGAACTTCGTCTCGTAGGCCCCCGCGTTGCTGGGATAGCTATGTATCCCTGCGGCGATGGTAGGTCGCCGGGACAAGTAGTAAGAATCCTTGTCCTTACTTTTCTTGAGAAAGTATGCGACGCCGAGCTCCGCTGCTGTTAGCTCGCCAAACTACATTCGCGGCACGCGATGTACATCGCGACTGCGATGACATACGCGTTTGGCGTCAACTGCATTGGTGCGATCCCGAAGTGGTCCAGGACCGACCTAACAAAAGGGTGGAAAGGAATCGTCCCCCCACCCTTGAAGATCTCCTCGGAGATCGCAGCTAGGCCATCGGCAGGATGCCGCGATGACCTGGTGGCGTCGAGGAACACCTCTGCTCGGACGTCGAACTGCCTTTTTATCCGATCGAACTCTTCTCGGGTGAGAACCGAGAAGACATCGAGGGATGCGTTCGCGGGGACATCTCGCGAAGACGAACCAGCTCCTTCCTCAGGTCGAGACGTTGAGGGTTCCATTCCAAAAGTCTGCAACACTGACAGACAAGGTCATTTTAGCCATCGCACGTCACCTAGCACGGCGGCGTGGAACAGTCCCTAAACCCTAACAATGGCTCGAGCCGTCATTCACGACTCGAACCTGATTCCGGCGTCGCATCTCTGATGAAACATCAGAAGACCCAACGCCGTTACACCACCAAAAACAAAAAAGAAAGAGAAAAAAGACCTTACCCTTTGGGGCGCGTAACCGAGGACAGTTCCTGTTTCAGATATCGGAAAAACGCCGATCGTAAAAGAAAAATCTCCGTTTTGCAAGTGTCTCTCACTCGAAGTAAAAAAGATTTTGGTGGCACCATCTGAAAAGTTCAGCTTTTATATGGATTCTGAAACGACGGTTACCACCCCTCAGAGTCGAAACGACGCGCCTCTCTCTCCCTGCATTAAATACGCCCCACGCCACATTCAATGCTGTGATGAGGGTTGTCGTTTCGAATTTATTGCACAATTAATGCTCTATCAAAGCAACTCTGGTTCAGCGCACAACGCATTTAATGCGCCTGACAGACGCCTGACACACGCAGAACGCCTGTCAGTGCAGAGAGACCTCATTTAGTTCATCTCTAAAGCAGTAAGGGGTGCCCGATGAGGTTAGCTCGCTTAGGCGATGATTGTCAGGTCGTTCGGGCGAAGTTTGTGCGAGGGTGTGTTCGTAAAAGGCTTTGACCCAAGCTCCTTCCATTCAGGTCGAAATTACCCAAATCTCCAATCGCGGAATGATTTAGTTTCCAAGGTTCGATCCTCAAACCTTAAAAACTAGGGGACTTTTGTTACTACTGGAAAATAAAGGGCTGACGTAGGAAATCACGTGATGGGGGGGACCTGCTCCTGTCAGAACGGTAAACCCACGTCAGGCCTGCCAATAGCTATGGAGCTCCCACGTGTCCCTTTNATATTTGAGGCTTAAGGCGAAAATTTTAATTTTAACTTTATTATTTATTTAAATAATAATTATTAATTTTTTATACTTTTACTATATCCAAATAGATATTTTTGATTAAAAATAATTACAATCTAAGCCATAATAATTAAAGATTCAATGAAAAATCATAATGATAATGATATCAATTTAAAATAACATACAAAAAAGAAAATAAATAAAATTATAAAATGATATCAAAAGGTTAACTTATTAGGCATAGGGACTCCCCCTTATAAGCCTAAAACCTTCCTAATACGTTTCTAATGTGGAATCTGTGACACTAGGTAATTGCTTCACTGGGTAAGGTTCCAACCGGTCCTGCAAGAAGGAAATATTCTTTGCCAAAATCATCACTCATCAACCAGTTTAAGTGAGCAAGAATGAAATCAAGGAAATATTTCATCATGTATCGTCACAATTATGAAAAATTCTTAGAGATGATGAGATTACTGCAACACATAACTACTTTTTTAAATCGATTACACTGGTAGAATATCAACAAAACTTGAACAAGAAACTGGAAAGAGCTAAAAGTAAAGAAATGCTTTTCACATTCAATCGCAATAAAATTCCGTGAAAACAAATTCTTTCCTAATAATAATCGTTTTAATAAGGTTAATCTATTTTTTAAATGGTTGTTTACACGAATAATATCTTTTGACTCATTAAATTAAAATAGACGCATGATATATCATTTAAATTCACAAGATATGCATCTACGTACTTTCCAACTTCATTGTATCGTTGTCGTCATTTTCCATAACAATAATACAAACCCTTTACAAGACAGAGATCGAATACTAGTTCTTCTGTGAGAAAGATCATTAGATTAGCACCAGAACGAACAGGAGGAATCATTGATTGAGAGAAATATAGGATACTCAACAGGAGAAGTAGTGTCGTGAGCCGGCTGATTAATTGTTAATTTTTAAATCATAGAATGATTTAATATTTTTATGTTTTAAAACAAATTCACAAAATCCATTGTAATTTGTAATCATAAGTGAATAAAGAATTAAACATTGATGTCTTGCAAAGTAATTAAAGTACGGTAAAACCTCATGATGGTGATCACGAAACACCCCAGTAAAATGTGGAAACCCGAAAACGTTTAGTATATGCAAAACCTGCAATAACACAATTGAAATAAAGCTCAAAAGATCGGAAATGGAAAGTGTCGGTAGTAGTGGTAGATGCCGTCAATAGAGAGGATTCTGATGCATTAAGGATTACGAATGGCAGTGAGCACGATGTCAACCTTCTGGTCCAGATTCACAATGAGTTTTGGGGGTGATAGAGTCAGCCCCAACGTTCACGGCAATTCATGAAGATGTTGCATTGCATATTTGCATGATTTAAGCGCAGTGAAATTGGTTCTTGTGATTGAATACTGCACATAAATGTACACCATTGTAAGATATATGTGTAATCGACCTAATAACATCTCCAATTTAACGTGAAGCGAGTAACCCATAAAGATTTTCAGTCATGCAATGCAACATCTTCAATCGCTGACTTCAATCGCTGACTCCACTTCCGGCGCTGACTCTATCACCCTAAAAAATTCGGGCCACCACTATTTCATGTGCGGCTTTCCTGGCCACTGTCAAGCTGGACAGAAGGTTGATATAATGGTGATTCCAGTTTCTCTACGCCCAACTACAAGTCCTAATCATACTTCACCGCCTTCAGGATCCCCATTGACCGCACCGAGTCCCACTCCCACTATCAACGCTGCTTCATCTCTCCAATATTTCAAGCTTTGGTGGGCTTTGGTTCCGCTTGCATTTCTTGTTATTGGCTTTGGATACTAGCTTTAGTTATTCTACTTGTATCAATCATATGCAAAGTACGAATTAATGAACGAATGCTAATCTAATTCCAATCCTTTTATGGGTCAAACTTGGAAGATTTTTTTGGCAATGATGTATATTAATTTTTAGAGCTCCAATTGCATATATACATGATTCATCAATTAACTGTTTTGATAATCAAAGTGCGAAGTTTTATTTATTAATTAAATTGGCAAGCTTTTGGTTAATTAAATTAAAATTATGAAACACAAGTTTTTAATATTTAGTTCTTAGTTTCAATTTTTCTTTGAAAGGACTCCAACCGTTCAAAACTAGCCAGCAGCAAAAATCCACAAGAAATACAAAAAGTCTAGACTCCTTCCAGTGCTTTCACATTCAATCCAAATATAAATCCGTTAAATTAGTTCTTTCTAGAAAATTATTATAATTGAAAGTTTAATATTGGCAACACACGTGTCATCAATATGTCTATTCTATAAAAACTTGTCAAATTTTTATTGGACCGACATATATTTCGTCCCTGCTATGCCGAAGAATTCTCACTCAAAGTTCAATAGATTTGTGTATATATATATATGCCCAAGCATACCACCTATTACACACACATACACTAGTTGATCTTTATTCTCCCTGAGACTCTGGTGATTACTGATTAGTGATGGCTTTAGCAATTAGGGAGACACTAGCTTTCTTGATGATCACAATGCTTTTCCAAGTCTCTTCTGCCACTGTTTACAAGGTGGGTGGCTCTGCTGGGTGGACGTTGCCTATTTTAAGAAATGTTGATTACAGTAAATGGGCTTCTAACAAGCCATTCCATGTTGGAGATGTTGTTGGTACGCTCTTACACGTTTTTTGCTTCTTTTGTTTTTTCAAGTTCATTCAATATTTTTATAATATGTGTTTAGTTAACAATGGATTAATATGTATGTGCAGTATTCAGCTACAACAAACTATTTCACAACGTGGAGCAAGTAACCCAGAAAAATTATCAGGCTTGCAATGCAACATTTCCCATCGCTTCTTACAACACCGGCAACGACTCTATCACCCTCGAAAAGGTTGGCCACAAGTATTTCATATGCGGTGTTCCCGGTCACTGTCAGGTTGGACAGAAGGTTGACATCAACGTCACTCCACTTGCTCCTGTTCCTGCACCAACAACAATCTGATCTTCACTTGTTCAATCTCTGCTAGGATTTAATTTTCTTTTGCTTTTTCATGTACTAGACCAACAGGTTTCTCAGAGATAAATAATACTGTTGAATCTCTACGAGGTTTAGTGTTTTAATTAAGTGTTAGTTTATCGGACATGATCTTTATGTATATCTAGGCAGATGCAAAGTTTAATTAATGTTATACTTTAATAAATTAATTACCTTTAATTCTACTGCTTCCAATGGGATGTTATTTGGACAAGATTTGATAATTTTTTACAAGTCAAAGTCTGGAAGATGTGTTTATTACTAAACTAAACATAAACTATACGAGAGATTCAATTTTATTTCCTTCAATGCGTAAATCATTTTAAATACTTGGGAAATTAGAGTAGTATAGAGTTTTATGAATAGTGAACCAATGAGAAAGTCCCACATAAGTGGATATGGTGTGTACAAGATACTGTATTGGTCAAATAAGGAGACACACTACTTCCCAACTAACCTGTATAAATTTATTCAATTATATCATTTTTAGTTACAAATACGGAAACGTTTTGAGAAATAGGAAAGACAGGCAAGTTAAACAAGGATGACATGATTATCAGAGACGCAAATACAACATACATGAACACAGCCATTTTTTTGTTCTTCTTAAAAACTACCATCTTCAGTATTGAACAATATTATTATAGCTTAATAACCCATATGCTAGAAGCTTCTACCCATATATATATATGCTAAACATAAAATTTTCATTCTAAAATAAATCAAACAAACGAAAAAGGATAGTAGTGCTGCTTCAGTTATGTACAACATGGTATTCATTTCTGAAATTCAAATGGTGATCAGGACTGTGAGGATTTGTATAAAGGGTTTTTAAAATTTCATGTTGAGATCTTTTTCCTTAGAGTTTGGATAAATTTAAAAAAAAAAAAAAAAAAAAGACTTCACATTTTCTGTCCTGCATGGGTCCTCTTTTCGTTTTAATAAGGTTAATCTATTTATTAAATGGTTGTTTACACGATATAATATCTTTTTGACTCATTAAATTAAAATAGACGCATGATATATCATTTTAAATTCACAAGATATGCATCTACGTACTTTCCAACTTCATTTGTATCGTTGTCGTCATTTTCCATAACAATAATACAAACCCTTTAACAGACAGAGATCGAATACTAGTTCTTCTGTGAGAAAGATCATTAGATTAGCACCAGAACGAACAGGAGGAAATCATTGATTTGAGAGATAATATAGGATACTCAACAGGAAGAAGTGTCGTTGAGCAGGCTGATTAATTGTTAATTTTTAAATTCATAGAATGATTTAATATTTTTATGTTTTTAAAACAAATTCACAAAATCCATTGTAATTTGTAATCATAAGTAGAATAAAGAATTAAACATTCATGTCTTGCAAAGTAATTAAATGTACGGTAAAACCTCATGATGGTGATCACGAAACAACCCCAGTAAAATGTGAGAAACCCGAAACCCGTTTAGTATATGCAAAACCTGCAATAACACAAATTGCAAATAAAGCTCAAAAAGATCGGAAATGGAAAGTGTCGGTAGTAGTGGTAGATGCCGTCAATAGAGAGGATTCTGATGCATTAAGGATTACGACTGGCAGTGAGCACGATGTCAACCTTCTGTGTCCAGATTCACAATGAGTTTTGGGGGTGATAGAGTCAGCCCCAACGTTCATGGCAATTCATGAAGATGTTGCATTGCATATTTGCATGATTTAAGCGCAGTGAAATTGGTTCTTGTGATTGAATACTGCACATAAATGTACACCATTGTTAAGATATATGTGTAATCGACCTAATAACATCTCCAATATGGAAATTCTTTTCCAGAAGTCCGTTTGTTGTAATTATCGACATTGGCACATCGTTCATGTACTCATCAACCGTCTCAAGGATATTTGAGGCTTAAGGCGAAAATTTTAACTTTAACTTTATAATAATTATTAATTTTTTTATACTTTTACTATATCCAAATATATATTTTCTAATAGATATTTTTGATTAAAAATAATTACAATCTAAGCCATAATAATTAAAGATTCAATAAAAAATCATAATGATATCAATTTAAAATAACATACAAAAAAGAAAATAAATAAAATTATAAAATGATATCAAAAGGTTAACTCCCCCTTGTAAGCCTAAAACCTGTCTAATACGTTTTTGATGTGGAATCCGTGACACTAGGTAATTGCTTCACTTGCGTAAGGTTCCAACCGGTCCAGCAAGAAGGAAATATTCTTTGCCAAATTCATCAGTCATCAACCAGTTTAAGTGAGCAAGAATGAAATCAAGGAAATATTTCATCACGTATCGTCACAATTATGAAAAATTCTCAGAGATGATCAGATTACTGCAACACATAACTACTTTTTTAAATCGATTACACTGGTAGAATATCAACAATACTTGAACAAGAAACTGGAAAGAGCAAAAAGTAAAGAAATACTTTTCACATGCAATCGCAATAAAATTCTGTGAAAACAAATTCTTTCCTAATAATAATAATGAGTAATGCTAGAACCACCGAAGGTTTCGCACCAAATCTGTGCATCTAATGACGTAGCAAAATTCTGACCGTTTATTTATTATCAATTAATATTAATCAATGATCAGGATTTTACCACGTCATTTGGTGCACAGATTCGATGTACAACCTTCGATGGTTCTATCATTTTCGAATAATAATTTTAATCGGAAGCTTAGATCATGGTACCACGTGTCCATTAGGACATCTATTCAATAAAAAATTGGTAAATTTATATTTGATCACAAGATGAGAGGGTATCTAATACAAAAAAAGAGTACCACCTTACCAATAATATAAACCAATAAATTTATGTCCTGTACAATAACTATAGTGAATATATAAATAAAACAAAAAATAATATATATTTGGCATAAATATATTGGTTTATTATACATTAAAACAGTATGTTATTGTATTTCATAATTATTTATTGAGTACGCGGGAGATCCGTCCACCAAAGAATTATTTCTCACAAACTTCAACACTAGGACAAGAAAATCCAATATATATATATATGCCCAAGCACACCGTGCTTTGTCTCACACACATTCTTTCGTTTTGATAAAACTCTACTTGATCAGTGATGGCTTTAGCAGTTAGGAATTTAGTAGCTCTGTTGATAATCACAACTCTTTGTCAAGTCTGTTTCGCTGTTGTTTACAATGTCGGAGACTCTGCTGGGTGGACGCTGCCTATTTATGGGAAAGTCGATTATGAAAAATGGGCTTCTCCTAAGAAGTTCCATGTTGGAGATGTTCTTGGTATGCTCTGACACATTTTTTTCGTTTTACTAGTTTGATGGTGACCTTTCCATCATCATCGAGTAATCTTAACATATTTTGATTGCTTGCGTTTGCGTTCAATATTATATCGTTTAAATTTCTTCTTCAATAATTTGTAGAGATATGACAAGGGTTTTAATTATAACAGTGGATTTATACGTATATATGCAGTATTCAAATACAAGAGGCTATTTCATAACGTGAAACAAGTAACCAAGCAACATTTCAAGACTTGCAATGCGAAATTTCCCATTGCTATTTACACCAGTGGCTCCGACCATATCACCCTCAAAACACTTGGAGACTTATATTTCGTGTCTGGTTTTCCTGGTCACTGTCATATTGGTCAAAAGCTTCACATCAAAATCATCCCATTCCCAGTGATCATCCCGATCCCAGTCATCATCCCAATTCCTGTACCCCAAAGTAACAACACTAGTCCAGCACCATCTCCGGCTTTTGATGTTTTATCGCCATGAAGCTGCAACTGCTGCGTCCAAGAAACATGGCTCCATCTTTCCTATCGCTCAAGCTCTGGTGGTCGTCTTTTGTCCCCGTATCGATCTTTATAGTTTATATCACTGCTTTTAATTAATTTGGGTCGTCTCTCAGAGGTTTACTGTACCTTTATGTAATTTTTTAGTCTATTCTAATGGACATGAGGTAGCAAGATAAGTTTTTATTGTGTCTGCAAACGTTGATGATCACGTGGTCGTAATTTATAGTTTGATAATTTAATAAACAAACTTAGATTTTAATATACTCTATTGCTTGTGTTTGGATGTCCGCAGCAGTTGCATCTTAATTTCGATCAATTCTTTTGGTGGACTTTGAGCTCATTAAAGATTACTTTACTGATCTTTTACTTCATAATTAATAGTTTAAGTGCTATCTAATCAAAAGCTAACTCTACTTAAATGAAATAAATTTATTTTTTTTCTATGAAAGATAATTTGACCAACTATGATATGGCAAGTAATTAAGAATAATTTTATACCATGTATAACATAGACTAAATGACTTTTTCCCACCCAAATAATGACTTAATGACATTTTTCCACCCATAGACTTTTAAAATATCACTTTATTACCCAAATTTATATTTTGTTTCTGATTCTGACATCGTTGCGATCCGATATCACCATCATTCTCTTTCCCGATCATCACTCACTAAAACCCCTTAAACCCTACTCCCATCGACCTCATCAATCGTCAGCAATTGAGCTATTAAGGTTTGTGCAACCGTCCCTTCCAAGTCAAATTTCGATCAATTTCAACCACCAAAACTCAATCTTCCACACCAAAAGACTCATCAATCTCCCCTCTTCAAAAGCTTCAACAGTTTGTACTGAGTTTGCTATTTGTTTGCCGTTGGAATATAAATTTGAGTAATAAAATGATACTTTAAAAGTTTATGGGTAGAAAAGTGTCATTAAGCCATTATTTGGGTGGGAAAATGTCATTAACTCTATAATATATGTAACAAGTATAGGATAGTGTCAAATTGGGTGTATATAATTTACTGGCAATCTAAACATAAAGTTTAGAGATTTAATGTATTAAATAATTAACAGTAGCACAATATAATTATGTAAAATGCATAAATCACGGCATGCGTCTACTTCCCAACTTACTTGTTCAATTATGTCACATATTTTTTTGTCAAAAATATGAAATCATTCGAGAAAGAGGAAGATGTCTAGCATCCTATAAGAACTAGGACATTCTGAAGAAGGCTATGCTTCAATCTTCATGAAGGGTGTTATCTAGAAGGAAGAAGCCTATTCAAAGTAAAGCAACTTTAAAAGAAAAATATATTACTATCACGGATACAAAAATTCTAATGATATTATTGTGAATAAAATACATTAATATAATTCATATTTTCTATATATTAGACAAACTTTACGTGTCCCATTCCCATATGTTAACATTTCCCTTTATTCATTTATCAATAAAAAAAAAATATATATCAATATGATCTCTATTCTCTAGTTATTGTCTAAAAATACATATACAGTACCTCTTTATAGTCATAATGTTAGGACCAACTAAATTTATTACTATGAGAAGGTTATAACTTAATAGAGGTGTAGTTATCAATGTTTTAAAACCTGACCCGGGGGGTGACCCGATTAGACGACTGGGTCACGAGTTAACCGGTTTAGCCGATGGTTTAACAAATTTGAAATTTAGCAAACACACCCCTAATAAATACCATCAATCCATATAGGTTTGAAATCTAGCAAACACACCCCTGACCAAATGCAAATTGACAATCGTCTAGGAGAGCGGCGATGACACACCAGGGAGGGTAGATCGGGTGCTGGGGAGGACGAATCGACAGATGGCAAGTTAAGGTATTTTCGAAAAATGGCATATTGGTGATGAAAGTCAAATGGTCGCGTTGGCTTTTTTTGGCGAGATGATGGTGGATCTTCGTGAATGGCAGCAAGGGAGCTTCAGAGAAGGTAGATGAGTGGCTAAGGAGGCCTATTGATGCCAAAGAAAGCCGATCGACGTTGGGAAATGGAAGAAAAATTGCTGGACAACGAAACATCATGCGGCGGCGAGAGATGAAGCGGCATGGCCCTGAAGAAAGTCAAAAGGTGGTTTCCGATGGCAAGGGAAGGTGGAAGGTCGCTAGAAAAGGGGAGGTCATTGCCGATTTGCATTTGGCTAGATGGTGTGTTTACTGGATTTCAAACCTTCAAAGACTAATGGTATTAATCAGGGGTGTGTTTGCTAGATTTCAAACTTAAAACAGTTGAAAGGGTAACCGACCCTAAAAAGGCCCCGAGTCCCGGTCTAACTGGTTAAACCGACCGGTCCGGTCTGGGTTTTAAAACAATGATAATTATAAGAATTATTGTTTTGATTTCTTATTTTATAATTCATGTTTTAGTAGTATAAATGAATTGAGTGATCCAATTAGACAATTTCACTACATGAATTAAATTAACATTAATGTCTTCCTCAATCATCAAAATGAGCAATGAGTCGTGTATGTTTTAATTGAGGAAGAAATCATTACTGAAATTAGATAAGAAGATGAAAAAGATAATCATGCGGATGATATTACAGAAATACCAAAAGTTTCGTGTCAAGAAGCTCTAAACATACTTGAGAAGGTAGAAATATTTTGGCTTCAATAAGAAAGTGTTCATGCTGACGACTTATTATGTATCCACAAGATAGAAAATGTGATAATAACTCTAAATTATAAATTATTGTTCCAAACAACTTTAAATAAATATTTTATTTCATCTTAACTTTTAATGTAACATATCACATATTTCTTGCAATATACATATAATTATTACTGTATAGAAACAAGTTCCTTAAGACGTAGTTTAGAGAAATTATAATTTATTATAATATTTATTCTATATATAAAAAATTTTATAACTATTTGTAGATTATTTCTATATATAGTATAAAAAGGTTTTACTGTATGATACTGTATGTGTACACATTATATAAATGTACACAATATACTCATTATTGATTATATAAATGTATTATTATGTAAAAATAAATAAATAAACGTTTTTTATTTGAGTGCATTAATTTCATCCAAATTTGAAATTTTTGCACTGTTTAAAGTGTTCCCACTAGCATGCGCAGAAACCTGTAACAAGATTGTTGTCTTGTCTAATAAGAATTATTAAATAATAATTGCTGTGCATTACAGTCATAAAGGTGACGTGAGCTAGAAAAATGAGCTGCAGCTGACTCAGCCACGTTAATTTGTGGTGAAGAAAGGATAGAATCCGACCGTTAGACGTGGTGCAATCTAGGAGTCGGATACTTACAGGCAGGTCAAAAGCTGAACTCAACTCAACAGCTCTAAATTCAAACTTAGTGGCTAACATGATCTGTAGCACGATCCCAGGCCCTGCCACAAATTAAGAAAATAGTGCCAATCAGGGAGCCTTGTGCTTGTGGCTCTGGACCACTCTTCTGACTAACATTAACATTCTACCATATCAAAACTACTTTCAACGACAACTGCTACGAATTTAAGACCCATAACTTATTAAAGATTTTATGTCCTGGATATGAATGTTGAAGAGTCTATGAAAATTATGTTAACTAAGAAGATGCAATAAACTGCAGAGAAAAGAGAACAAGAACAAAAGAATAATATGCATCATTACACTGTAGCATAGTAAGTGCATTGTTTCTGCTTGAAATCCAGTGGCACAAAGAGGGGAGCATAAGAAATTGATCATACTTTGATGGCCATTAAAGATGAATAAATTATAATTGGCGAAAAAGAGAGAATGAAAAAGTGAAACCGAAATAAGTAGTATAACCATTCCAAGAACAGTAACCAAGTAAAAACACCCAGCCAAAAAAAAAAGAACTGTAATTATGTATGAAGGACAGCCCGGCCGCACCGGAGACACATCTGTACAAACACTTCACTTTCTCATACATTCAGGCTTCAGCATCTCTCCCTTAATCCTTCCTTGGCAAATGCATGAGAAGACTCACTATCCAAAGGGGCTATCTTCAATCCAATTCGTTTTACTTGAGGAAAACTTTCCAAAAAACAAAATTCTGATATTTGATCACGTATCAATGGTTACCAAAAGATTTAATCTAATGTAAGGCAATAAATACCCAGGTCACTTGTTTGTCAGTTCTATCCATGGGTCGACTCAGATATATGGCTCTCAGAATCTCCTATTTTGCTTTCAATATCAGTTGATTCCTTCATGGATTCAATTTCCATACTTGCTGTGCGGCTCTTTCTGTTCCTCCGATCCTGAAAAAAAGTGTGTTACAAATTTTGTCATGGGCTTATCAGTTTAACTTGAAATGAAAAGTATAGGAACAGACAGAATTATTAAGTCTTTCCTCGTTAAATTAATTCAGTATTTTGCAAATATGGGAAATATCTGGATTATAGGGGAAAAGCCACAACATTCCACTTGAGGAGGTGTTATATCATAGTTATTACCAATATATCTGATATTATACCTCACAATCGGACCAGAAGATAAAGGTACTGTGATTAAATCTTCCAATTGTTAGTCAAAATGTTGATCATGAGAAAAAAAAAGGAATGCCTGAAGTAAATTTTCAGAGAATTTGTAACAGTCGGACAAACAACGGCTCTTATCAATCCAGGGAAATACAAAATTTCATACCTCACGAAATGGATAATCGTCAGCTTCAAGCATTCGAACAACTTGACTCATTTTGGGTCTCTTGTCTGCATCAGGATCAACACACCTAAGTGCAACTAGAAGCGCACGTTTTAATGATCGGGTTGCAGGTTTTACTTCAAGGTTTGGATCCACAACTTCCTCAGCTCTTCTTGTTCCCACCATCATCTTCAGCCACTCAACAAGATTGACCTGCCATGAGCAGATGTAAGGCTTAGCAGATGTTCTCACAGACATTCTACTTACCAATTTAAAGAAGCTTCCACATACAGCGAGAAGAAAAATTCTTGAAAAACCATGAATTCAGCATTATCAGTCATTGAACTTAAAGAATTTGGCACCTCATTAGCAGGTCGGCCATAGTCCACAGGGTCCCTTCCAGTAACTGCTTCTAGTAGTAGGACCCCAAAGCTGTAAATGTCACTTTTTTCATTTAACATTCCGGTATTAGCATATTCAGGAGCGACATAACTGAAATTCACAAAAGAGAACTCCCATTTTTAGATACTTCACGTAAGTTAGAATTATCAATTAGAAAGAGAAACTGATCACATACCCAAATGTTCCCATAACTCTGGTTGTTATGTGACTCTCTCCAGAATCCAAGAGCTTTGCCAAGCCAAAATCAGAGACCTTAGCATTAAACTCATCATCTATCAAGATGTTGCTTGATTTAATGTCCCGGTGAACTACTTTAGGCTCTATGGCTTCATGCAAGTACGCAAGCCTGCAATATGTAAAGCAAATGAAAATTTCAGTTCTGACTTCTACCCCTCAAGAAGAATCAGAATGCTGGAATTAAAGTACTTCTAATATTTAAAAAATTTTAATGTACTATAGTCTTTGCTTTTAATCTGAAAAAGAAAAAGATCTCAAAAAAATGGAAACAATCTAAAATGTCTTAAAATTAATTGAACTATCAAAAATGTATCAAACTTCAACCAAAATTACCATTAGGGTTTTAAACTATCATACGAATCTTCTGTGGGATAAAGATTAACTTACGCCTTGGCGGTACCAATAATAACCTTCATGCGGGCCTCCCAAGTGAGGGCACCGTGTTGACGCATAGCCCCATGTAACCATTGTTCCAAATTGCCATTGTTCACATATTCGTACACCAGCATCCTGAGTAATTAAATGCAATACGATCAAATTTGAGAAGTATTTGTCTCCAAGCCACAACTTAAGCAATTAAACACGAAGTTTGTGAGACATTAATAAATTAAATATGCTGAACTAGCATACATGGCTAAAAGTTAACATATGATGAGTGATTAACCAATCAATGAATAGTAACTGCATCACACCTGTGAACTCCTTCTATGCAATAGCCTAGAAGTCGCACTAGATTCTTATGTCGAACATGACCAATAGCTTCCACTTCAACTCTAAATTCTTTCTCCGCCTGTCCCCTGATTCCCAATTCAATACAAAATCATAAAGCTGACTCAAATACATAACTTAAAAAAAAGGTACAGACATGATGTCATTAAAAGTATCCTTACAAATTATTAAGAAGCTTCTTCACTGCTACCTCAGTTCCATTGATCAGTCTACCGCGGTAAACAACACCATATCCACCCTCACCAACCACATTCTCTGCCGCAAAACGATTTGTTGCTGATTGAAGATCTCTAAGAGTAAACCAGTGGCCCCATCCAAGATGTGAACCTTCTGGCAAACCAACTAAGGGAGAAGCTGTCACTAGTCCTCCATAAGACAATGAAGAATGCTTTTGAACAATCCCAGAGCTTCCTTCTTCTCCTGACTGTGAACTACATGCTCTCTCATGAAGATAAATAGAACTGCATTGACTCATGTTATCAGGATCACTTGATTTGCGAACAAGCATTTTCTCTGAATTCCTATCACTTGATTTATCTTGGACTGAAAGAAATAAACTTTCAGGGCGGTCATTAAAACTCTGACCCCCGACTATGTCAACCTTAATTTCTTTTGATACGTTGGGTATTTGGGTGAGGGAGAACTTATCTAATGATCTTCTAGATTTCCTCCGAAATGAAACCCATACAGATAAGATACAAAGAATCAAAACTATAAATGCACCAACAGAGATACCAATCAAAACCCATAGTTTTAGACCCAAAAATGCTGTCTTCTTTGATAATTCAGTATTTAGAGAACCCTCAGACGACATTTCTGATCTTCCAGATATTAAGAAAGAAACTTGTATATGGTCCTTTTGCTTCTGATACAAAAAAATTAGCACATTCCGTCCTGTATATTAGAAACATTTAAGGTAAGTCTACACAGCATAAAATACGAACTCATCCCTGAAATTTTAAGTTCTAAGATGCAATTTTCAATTTTGAATAAACTTGATTCATAATAAACCAAAGTTTAAACAACACAAGCAACCCAACACTGTTAAAAGCATCCTTATCCTAATTCTAACACTCAAATCTCATAGATAAAAGTAGTAAAACTAGTGCATTTAATATAATCTGAATGAACGATTAGATTCTTGGCTTACACTGCAACTATTAAGAAGAATCAAACAGAAAAAGAAAAGGAAAGGAAAGGAGAATCTGATACCAAATTGAACCAAGTTCAATTGCATTTTTTAGTTTTTATTTTTTTATTTTTATGGTTCAATTAGAAAACTGTAATGCTAAAAGAAAACCTAAGTACAATTGAAGGGCATTTAACCAATCAATAAAAAACTCATTTGCATTTAAATCATACTTTTAAAAAAAATCAAAAGAACTTCAACAAATTACATTAAAAAGACAGCATAAATAAATCTACTGATGACTCATCACGCTTACTGAAAACACCAATCAAAGACTCTGAGCAAATGGAATTTCTGATAAGAAAGCATCACTTATGATCCAAGCAAGAGTCAGAAAAAGAGAAATGTAAATACACTATAAAGTGATAAAACAGCAAAAAAGAAAAAGAAGAAGAAGAAAGCAATAACCTTTGTGGTATTGATCTAAACTACACTAACCCCCTTGATCTTCTTCCTTGAGCGACCACAGAAGCAAAGAAAAGGCTTCTTTGTTTAGAACCAAAAGAGAGTCAATGAGCATAGATAGGCCAATGTAGACCTCAAATAACACAATCCCACAAAAAAACCCAGATGCCACAGAAACAAAAGAAGAAGAAGAAGAGATGGAATTACAATTGGAGAAGAGTAGTTTACAAGTAGAGGTTTGTGCCCCCAGGTGGGCCAGAAAGGAATTGAGAGAATGATAAAAAAGAATGTGAAGCAATGTCAAGGCCAGACAAAAATCCAATCTTTGAAGGAAAATGTAAAGAGAAAGAGAGAGAGTTATTTAAAAGGACCAAAAAAAAGAGAAGAGGTGGGTGAAATGGTTGGTGGGTCTTTGTGCAAGAGAGAGGGACCTCCCAAATAGAAAGCTGGAAAGGAAGCTTAGTTTGCAATGGAGGTCAGGTCAGGAAAGTAGGAAACCAAAGAATGAAAGAGAGAGAGAGAAAGAAACAGTAAAGGAAAAGCAAAAATGAGGTGAACAGTATTGGCATTTATAACTAGGCAAAGAAAAAATTAATTAATATTTGTTAAAAAATTTAAGAGAAAATTTAAGAAAGGAAAGGGACAGTGAGAGATGAGATCAGTCAACACCAACTTACAAATCTAACCCCATTACTTCTCTTTGTACTTCCTTCTTACATCTCCTTCTTACCCTTCTTACAAGTTTTACTCTCTCTACATAGTACATAACACAACCTTAAACATTATTTAACCTTACCTTTCAATTAATCCTTTGGTTTAGTCATTTAATTATTCTGGTTCTGGTATATGCTTAAATCATCGTTAAGTTCCCTTAATTATAAAAGTAATTGTACAAAAGGTTTGTTCCTAACTTTGGCCATTTAATTTCATTATTGGTTAAGAATTTAGGTAGATTTTTTTTAATTTTTATCGGATTATTCAACTTAATTTACCATTTTTAGTCCACTTATTTCTTATTTGTCAATTGGATCAGATATTCGTACTTTTCTTGAGAAATTAGTTTATTGAAGGAATTTAAATATTTCAATAAAATTATTTAAATATTTCAGTTTAATTATTTCTTATTTAAAGTTGATCTACTTTTCTTAATTAGGTAAAATATTTTTATTTCACATTTACCAAAAGGATTTGACATTGACTGTTGAAACTTGTTTTTTTCTTTGGTGTCTATTACCTGTCTGTCTCCATTCATTTTGATAAGACCATAATTTAAATTTTCTTTTTATCAATCTTTTCTAAATTGGTTTGGTAATAAAAATATGTTGGTATACTGTCATTAAAATTTATAAATAAATAAAAAAAGCATTAAATAGAAGATCATTAATTATGAAAACAAGATCAGTTACCATAACATAGACAATACATTAATTGATAAGCATGACCGAAATTTTCAGGCTTAATTACTTACAATTAATATATATGATGATAACTAGGTATCATTAATAATATAAAGTTGGTTTGACCATAGTAACAAACATTTAATTCAATTTTAATTAAGGTAATTATGTTGTGTCATATTATTAGACTAAAACATTATTATTTATTTAAAGTAAATAAATGTGGTTAATTAATATAATCATGGGTCTACCATTGGAGGCTTTGATTAGAAGCATAACCTTTTCCTTAAAGTATGTCTCAAAATTAATCTTTTTTACAGATTTACATTAATTAATTATATTTTTGAAGATAAGAAAATCTAATAAGATGTTAAGTGTCTCCGACAAACTTTGACTTAAAAGGGCCAATTCTAACCGCCGATCACCGTAAATCATGTGATATCTTGAAAAGGAGTTGATCAGTGATGAGCACGTTGCTTCAGCTTTACTGGAACAAAACTTGCATGGGCATCACGTGTAAGGCACGTGTAAAGACTGCCCTTTTCAGCTGCCTGCATGTATTAATTAATTAATTAATTAATTAAAAAGATTATGTTTTGTTAAATATAGATAGAGGGAAGGAATGTTTCCACGGTTGCATGAATTTATGAATATATATTTGTACACAAACATCAACACATTAATTTTTAAAAAATACAAAATCCATTTTATCCAAATAAAAACATGATATTCCCACTACAAAAATATTTAAATATTATTATTATTAATTTGCTCAAGTATCACGTTGAAATATAGTTGAAAAAAATGTTGCATGTTTTGTAAATTGTAATTGTCTTGTTGAGGAATGAATCCTGGCCGATCTCATGGATGTTTGAACTCATTCATACTTTGATTTTATATTCATCTCCCATTTGTCTATAACAACAAGCACAAATTATAAGTGGGCATAATACTACACATACAACATTTTATCATATAATATAATGTGACAAAAGATCATTGACTGATTTTAAATTAAAAATAAACTTTCACTCAATCATCTTTTATCACATCATGTTGTATGAGAATGTTGTATATGTAATATTGTTCTTATAAATGGTCATCTCACAATAATATTGGTTGACCTTATTTGGTAAAAGCCTATCCATTAATTAATTACACCCCGTCATGAATTGATTAAAAATAGCTTATAGATCACGATTTGGTATTGGTTGATGAACAATCAAGTCAAGAAGCTCTGAAGTGAACCAATGGGAAGAGCTAGCTTTCCAATTGAAAGTGAAGAATTTGTTTGGTCATATATACGACTGTCTACAGCTTTTTATTTGACTGGAGGTTTAGCTTTGCTTCCATATGAAAATTCCAAGTCACGAAACTCATAATTAAGCAGTTTGTTTTAGGTAAGAATTAATTGCTTAACAAAATATACAAATGCATAATAAACCTTCTTTCTCTTAACACTAGTTTCCTCATATCAATCTTCTACTTGAGACTTCAAACCATTAATAAATCAAATGAAGACAAGCCTTTGAGCTTCACAGTGCACTGATCAAAGTGTTTGAAATGAAACTTGTAAACTTGTAATTTTGTTGGTTTATTTATATCTTCTTACCCCCTTGAGAGTCCAATTAGATGCTCTCCTTTTATGGAATGCTTGCACGAGGGACTTATACAAGTTATTAACTTTGTTTATTATATACCGCAACCAACCCATTATCTAGCTAGCTAGCCAGCACAATCAATTATTATTATATTCTAGCAAACATAATCATCTCTGAACACTCATGCTTTTAATGAATCACATTCTATTTCCAAATATGTAAGTGAGGTAAATACTCTTAGAAATGAAGAGAAAATTAAAAAAATAAGAAAGAGTAATTGGTAATGTGAAATAGAAATTGGTTGCTTAGGGGCAGGTGATGTAGGCCATTATAGAGGCTAAGTTGGAGAGGTTAGATTCCATTTCAACTTCCAAGTCACCTCTTGCTACGCAGCAGACATAGAATAAAACCAGGATAAGAGCTGTCAACAGCTCAGAATTGGGTTAGAACTTCTAAGAGGGAGAGAGAGAAAAAAAAGAGGATCCCTATGTCTATGCTGAATTCTCATTTGAGAGTTGAAAGGTCATTTACATGAGTTAGGGTTACAATAGAGAGAGAGAGAGAGAGAGAGAGAGAGAGAGAGAGAGAGAGAGAGAGAGAGAGAGAGAGCCGGAGAATAAAAAGGGAGAAGAAGCAGATGTTAGGAGGAAGAAAATAGAAGGGAAAACTAGGAGGGGCTAGCCCTTGAAGTCTAGCATTTAGGGAGAAGCTAGCCCTCGAAGTCCAACACTATCTTAGATTCTCTTGTTTGAGTTATCTGTTTGTTTTTCTTGTGTTGGGTAGCTTTGCTAGTTTCTATTTGCTGTGTATTTTGTTTTAGATTATCAATAGAAGTGTTGCTTATCTTACTTTTCTGGATTTATATTGTTTTATTCCTTGCTATTCCTGTTGTCGTTGGCTAAGTTAGGAGAGGTTCATATCAAATGGTATCAGAGCCAAGGTTGGGTTATGGTAAAAACGAAAATGGAGAATATAATGGATAGCGTAGAAAAATAGAATAGTACGATGAAGGGAGATATGAGTACGGTGAAAAAAGATTTGGGAACGATCAAAGAGTGCTTAAGGGAAATGCTAGCCTGGATGAGGCTCAAAAATGAGGAGGAAACCAGGAGAGTAAAGAGTAGAGAGAAATGGGTTGACTGAAATACCTTTGGGTGGCGATCAAAATAATGGGGAAATAAAGGATAATCCATCAAGTGCGAGGACAGTCGTAGTATGGTGGCTGGAAGCCAGAGGTTCCACTATTTTTGGGAGAGGATCCTTATGGTTGGCTCTTCAAGGTTGAGAGATACTTCAGTGTGTATCGAGTTCCGAAGGCTGAGTGATTGTCCATGATGGCGGTGTGCATGGACAGCGTTAGATGTGAACTGGTTTCAGTGGGTGGAAGTAAGAGTCCAATGACGTCGTGGCCTACCTTTAAGTGTGCCCTTCTTCATCAATTCAGTAGTTCACAAGAAAGGGGACCCCACGAAGCTTTAATAGAAATTAGACAAACTGGGACAGTGGAAGATTATCGCTGGAAATTTGAAGTTGTGGCTACGCTATTAGTTGAAGAGAAGGAGGAGATCTTATATGCTGCATTTTTGAATGGGTTGAAGATGGAAATT